GAATGCTGGAACTGACAGTCCGTTTCACTCCACACTTTCATCAGTCTGAAGCCTATCAGTCTGAGGTCTAGGCAAGTCCAGACCTTCGGGTTCAGCCAATGACTCGGCGTGTCTGTCACATCATTGGACAATCACTGTGTTAAAAGCTTATCCGGGAATAGAACAGTAAAAACACTTGAAACGCTCAATGTCAGTGATGTTATGACCGACCCAACGTGCAAAATGTATTTAAGCAGCATTATTTTGTCCGTTTGCAACATTTACATATCATCACATTACACTGTGAAGTCTCCAAATGTGCTACTAAACAGCTGCGTTTTGATGCATCCAGCAGACGGGAGCAAAATTAGCTTTCATGTGGAGTTGTGTTTCTGCCCAACTGACAACTGTCAGAGCAATATCCACTGCCATTATAGCTCTGTTTGGATCTCAGGTGACTCCTGAGGGAAATATGTGGCCCTTTACCCGGGAAACGCTCCGCTACATTCACCAGCTAGTCGCTAACTTCTTTTGTCGCCCGTCAGGTGCTGAGAGAAGGAACAAGGTTGATGACAGCGAAAACAGTAAAGTTTGTGGACCTTAAAACCAAAACAATGAGCTGAAAGACACTAAAAGGTTCCGCAGAGTTAAGAAAGAAATACACTTAATCAAAAATATTGAATAGTGTAGCTGCCAAACATGGCCGCCTGTCCATCCCACTGACAGCTGCTCATCCAGGACATACGCCTATAAATACAATATAATATAAATATATATATTTAAGATATTTTTTGCCTTTATTACGATAGCTGCAGTGAGAGAGTGACAGGAGAGAGAGAGAGAGAGAGAGAGAGAGAGAGAGAGAGGGGATCACATGCAGTAAAGGACCCGGGCCGCTGCAGTTAGGACTAAGCCTTAATGGTATGCGCTGCACCAGGTGAGCCACCGGGGCGTCCGCCATGTTGATTTATTTGATAAAAGATATTGCACTTAATGGCTGAAAGTGAGATAGTTGATGCAAATGCTTCTTTTGTATAAGATGTGTATGGTTGAATGTCTTTCTGGGCCAGAGGTGGTCATGTGATCCACATCCGACTTCTCTACAGCGCAGCAGTGTTTGTATCAGCCTGTCAGGTAATATCTGACATTCAGCTGGCCTCTGCTGTAAAGTGACGTTTTGTGTCTTCGCTCGGGGACGTTCGTGTTGCGTGCTAAACTGAAAAAGAAGAAACTACGCAACCTGACAGAGACGTGCGTCCTGCATGCAGACACTAAAATCTTCTCTACCTTCGTGTGCAGTGACGGACTGAATGGAAAATCCCGGTGAGCACGCTTGGAGGAAGCTGTTAGTCCTTTATGGTTTAGATGGATTCCTCCTTCATTGCTGGGGCAATCTGTTTGAATGAAATGGATAACACTCATCATTTGCCATTTGGCATGTACCCCGCCTCACTACTGTGCTGTCCACTCTGCCAGAGCTTCTCTGGGCAGAGCGGTCTCATTGGCAGCTCCGGAGTGTGCGGACGTGACCTTGAAGCAATCCTTTGTTATGATCAGAGTTGGACTGAACATACATAGTAATGAACCTTATGGAGGTGCCACATCTAAAAGGCAGCCAATCCGGACAGCTGCCTCAGGGTTTATAAACCTTATGCTGATGTTTTATGAGGCTAGAAAGATTTTTCTTTTTATTGTTCCACACCAAGAAACTTTGAGACTGTATTTAGGCAGCGAGCCTAACTCTGCGTGGTGGACGAAGACTGCACAGAGCATCCACAGTGTCTCTGGTGCTCTCTGCACCTTCCCAGGAAGAAGCCCAGACTGAAAAGATGAAAGAAGTGAGGATAATGTACAATAACATAACAAAAAGAGATAAATAAAGTTATCAGAAAATGAATAAATATCCGTAATAGATTCATTCTGAAAATATTACAACAAAAATAGCCATGCATAAACCCATACCTGCAATTTAAGACTAATGAGGCGTTCACAGTGCTCTCTGCGGCTGTTAAACCACAAACGACTAAATGCAACATGTACGGAAATACATTTACTTCCTTAAAAAAATATATAATACAGCAATACAATAAAAAAAGAAATGAAAAGATAACACCAGGATCTTACAGGAATTTCTACATGTAGAGCAGGAAAAAGGCCTTTCAGACTTTGTCATGAATCGTGTTGTTGCAGTTTCCTACCCTCGGTTATCGCTGTCACTTTTTTCCTGCAGCATGTTTTTGTAAATTTGACCACGAGTGTGCTTGAGATGAATTGCAGCGATATTATGATAATCAGTCTCACTGCTGTTGGTTTATTGGTCCTGTTTACCTGACCGACTCCAGGCGAGAGTGGCGGCAGATGGGTATTTACCAGGCAGATGTGACCACAGAGTCACTCAACATCCAACAGGACCAAACATGTCATTATATGAGATGGTGGCATTTTAAGACACGGGACCGGGAGTCGAAAATAAACTATAATTTGTTGTAGTGGTAGTTTTGTTTTTGTTGTTTTCTGTCCCCAAATATGCACAGGAGCCTGAGCCCTGGTGGGATGAAAACAGGCAGTAATTAGAGACAAACACAGCAGGGGGAGACAAAGTTTGAGCGAAAACTGTCATGTTTTTGATGTCCGACCTGCAGGTTTCCTCACATGCACGTTGATGTTTTATTCCTCAAAACGAGAGCTTCTGCATTATAGCAATGCAGCATCGACACAGAGGGTGTGGGCTGACGCAGAAGGATTCAGGGAAATGTGTGTGTGACTGTGTGTGTGTGTGTGTGTGTGTGTGTGTGTGTGTGTGTGTGTGTATTGATGTCATCCCTTCCCTTGAGGGGACATCAGTGGGCTGTGTGGATTTTCCAACCTCTGGACTCCTTTCTTGCTTGAGTGGACACTCTCTCTACCACGACTCTACCCCCTCCCAAGAGCCTTCATCCCTCAATATGGACACACACACACACACACACACACACACACACACACACACACACACACACACACACACACGTGCAAACACACTTGCAGTAAATGTAGATCACTGTGTGGTCTTCAGGGAGCAGATGTGGCCACACATGCAAACAGCAGCAGTTATTGGGTATTGTAATGCAGCGTTATCCTGGTCAAGTACAATTCTCCGGCTCCATGAACAGAGAACATTTGTAGTTACGTCTCCTCCACCCGTCACCGAGACCGACTTTAGTCATGACACGAGGAAAAGCAAACTTCAGCTGTGATATTACAACAAACCCCCGCTACAGTCTTGACTTTCCATCTCTTTTTTTTTTCTTTTTTTTTTCCCCTGATGCTGCAGGTTCCCAGCACCTCCATGTACTTTAATTGTGTGTTCAACAGAAGAAGCGTTGGCTTTCTTTCTCTCCGACTGTAGTCTTGTTTGTCTCACTGAGGGAGGAAGCTGCAGGCAGATCAGAAAAGACGCAGACTCTCTCTCTCTCTCTCTCTCCTTTTCTCTCTCTCTCTCTCTCTCTCTCTCTCTCTCTCTGTCTCTCTCTCTCTCCCCGTGTCTACAGTAGAGTACTGCACTCTGCATGGAAACAATGGGTTTGTCGTAGAGCAGCGGCCTTGTTTAACCCCCACCCCCCCCACCCTCCATTTTCCTTTAACAACAGGAACATCTTGAGCTTTTCCTTCAGTTTGCCACTCACTCTGATTCTCCCTGTACCCGGAAACTGGCAGAGGTTGCTCATTATCTTCCCTCTCTGTTGTTGTTGTTTCTTTGTGCGTGTGTGTAAAAAGTGGGCAATTATAGTACGGCTCTTGTAGACAGCCAAACCTTCCTATAATGAGGAGATCTCCTTAAGCAGGACACACTGTATGTGTGCACAGCACAGCCCGTGTAGACTTTATGCAAATTAAAAGTTTCCATTTAATTCAGAGTATGACCAATAAAACACAATAGGTGCAGGTTCAGTTTGCGCTGTTTTGATGTCATGAGGCAGCGCGGCATGAACACAATGCGTTTTGTTGATGGGGAATACGTCCTGTGCAGCGTATCTACACAACAGAAAGGGGGATGATTCAACGCGCTGCTCGGAGAGGTTGCTTCTGTTGCTGCTGTTTAAATGGGGAAAAGGAGCAGCTTTTGAGATGAAAGCGTCAGAGGAAACGGATGCGTTTGGGTTTGATCTTTGTTTACTGCATTCAGCGGTTCTCTTGAAAGGATTTAAAGTGGTAATCAGCGGGATAATGGTTTGTTTCGTTGTGTCTCCAGTCTCGGTGCTAAGCGCTAAGCGCTCATCGCTGCGGTGATTTTTTTGCACCGCGTTTTCCCAGCAAGCCATTGTCATTCAAAACAGCAAGCGTTCATCATCCATTCAGGTGCATCGCTCAAATGTGATGGCTGTCACCGCTCATATTAACAACCCGGTTCTTCCTCTATTTATCTGAAGCGAAATGGAAACATCACTTCCTGTGCGCTGGGACTAGTTTCCTGGCAGTGAGCCGAGATTTATATCATTTAAAAAATGTGTTTCTCTGGAGATGAGCTCTCATTGTGTGTGTCGTTGTTTTTGCTCCAACACAATGTAATTATCACGGGGGGAATGTGCTTAATAAAAGATAAGTTAACTGATTCACAGCCTGACAATGTCCTTGTTGTATCAGTGTGTGGATGCTTGATTTCAGAATAATAGATCAGGAAGAACTTTTTTTGTTTTTGTTTAAATAGAAAAGAGAAATACGAAAATAAAACTAATAAAACTAATATATGCTCGTATAGCGATGAACCTACTGAGATTTATCTCCAACTCTGCAGTTCCCGTCAGCTCTACCGAGTGTTTCAGTGTCCTTTGGCTCCTTGTTTTGGTCTCCAACCAACAAACTTAATCTTAATCTGCCCCCATCAGACCCATCTCCAGCTGCAGCTGCAGCAGTTTCAAATAAACCCGAACAACAGTTAGTGACTAACTTGTGAACGTAGAAGTAAATTCATTAAATAAATGACAATGGAGAAATGAAAGGACTGATTTTATTATTGTTGTTGTTGTTGTTTTCTGTTGCAGTTTGCTCCCAGTACTCCCGTGGTGTCTTCGCCATCTTCGGCCTGTACGACAAGCGCTCGGTCCACACGTTGACATCCTTCTGCAGCGCCCTGCACATCTCCCTGATCACGCCCAGCTTCCCCACCGAGGGTGAGAGCCAGTTCACCCTGCAGCTCCGGCCATCCATCCGAGGTGCGCTCCTGTCCCTCCTCGACCACTACGACTGGAACAAGTTCGTCTTCCTGTACGACACCGACCGGGGTGAGTGATGACGAGAAGCTTTTTTTGTTTGTTTTTTTTTGTTTTGGAAGGTTATGTAAAAGTTGAAGATCGTGTTCGTCATGAGCTGCACTTCAATGTGTGTCTCATCTAAATGATAACCTTCAAAACTGCTGTTCATTGATTTAAGTGAACTGTTTTTCTTTGTATTTATCCCACAAATGAAACATGCTCTCCCTCATCATGCAGCTTCCTTACATCCTCTCCACCCTGTCCTCCTCCATCTGCGGACCTTGTCGATCAATAATAACATCGCCCAACTTCCTCCCTTGCTGAGGATAAGAGGCATAATTACTGTGGCCATTAGAGGGCTTTGTCACTTCTATGTAAGCATATGTATTGACTGATGCCCTTGATTTTCATGGGAGGACAGTCTCTCTCTGTGTGTAATATGCAGATATTACACCAAAAGAAGAGACTTGTCCGGGTTGTTTTATGAGGCAAAGATATTCAGGTGTGACAGTTCGCTGGATTTTGTGCTGTGTTTTTGTAATAAATGTCATTTTAAGGAATGCAAAGTGTCCTGAGCTTCAAAATAAAACCTCCTCCACCCATTCTAAAGAGGCAAAACCACATCTATCAGATCTCTATGAGGAGGGGTATATAGTATATCCAAGTGCTCGGTCACATTTGGTGTGATGTTGCCCCCTATGTGGCAAACACAGAGGTGTAAAGGGATGTGCTTGTAAAATAATGGTTTTCTATCCACAACATATCTTGGGGCCAGCAAGTAATCAATCTTGCAGTGTAGCCGCTGTTACAAGTGTGGTGGATATTGTTGAACCTCTCTCTCTATCTGTCTCTCTCTTTTTCTGGCTCGATTCCCCTCCTCACGGACGAGGACCATGTACAGTATTTGTCTCACCTTTATGTTTCTCACGCTCTTCCTGTTTGTCTCTCTCAGTCTTTCTGGTTTGTTTTTTTTTCTTTTTCTTTCGCCCACCCAATCTTTGCCTCTCTCTCTCTCTCTCTCACCGCATACCCCCCCACCCCCCCCCCCACCCACCCTCCTCATGTCACATTTCCATTACAAGACAGAATGGATATGGGCTACTGCTTGGATCACATCTCCACATCTCACTCTCATACATTTTCCAGAAGGTAGCCATGGGTTTTCATTGTCTCTTTCTCCCTGCTGCCGTGGCGACTGCGGTGAATGTTTGAGCAGATTGGATGTATAGAGGCTGCAGAGAAGAGGGGTCGGTATCAGCGTGGCGTCCATTCAGAACAACTCATTCCCTGCCTCCTCCTCCCTTATCTCAGGTCGTACATGCTTGACTGGATAAAAAGCCTCCTCCCCTCTCAACAAAACCCACTTGTATCTGATCAAGTGTTCCTTCCAAAAAAAGACAAGTTCCCAGCTGTAAGACTGAGCTGGCCTGCAGATGAGCTGACGACACAACCGGACCGCCTCAATCTGGCATCACTACTGATTCAAGATCAGCAGATACAGCTGATTTTATGTTATGTAATATTTCAATACTTGCCTCCTGATTTGAAACAGACAGTAATTATTCTGTGGAACAGTAGACACTTGGATGCTTTCCAGGAAGCCAAATCATGTTCTAACTAGAATGGCACTCAGTAGAGCGCATACCTCCGGCCAAGGCCAAACAATCCTACGCATGTCTGTCTGGATCTTACGGATCCACGTCAAAATTGAATGGGTTCTTCCCTGGTCCATGCCCCATACCTCCACCAAATTTGGTGCAAATCGGTTCAATACTTTTAGCGTAATCCTGCTGACAGATAAACAAGGAAGGTGGAGGTAGCGATGAACAGCAATGAGCGCCGACAGTTCAACAAAAGAAAAAGAGGCATGGAGAAAAAAAAAAGCCTCACTTCCATTTCTGGTGCTTAGTTGAACAAATATGAGAGTTTGTTTTCAACATAGAAACCTAGAATATCCATGACCTTTATCAATATTTCTAGATGAAACAAAACATTGTCCGCCCCTGCCTAATATGCTGTCGGCTGTAGGCATGGACTCTACAAGACCTCTGAAGGTGTCCTGTGATAATCTAGTGCCAAGATGTTCGCAGCAGATTCCTTAAGTCCTTTAAGTTTCAAGCTGGATCCCTCAGCATCCTGTTGCGAGCTCACGGTCGTTTGGCCTTAACGTTCTGGCTCTTGTCAAAGTGGCTCAGATCTTTACACCTTCCTATTCCTCCAGCATCATCAACATGTTGACTACAAGAACCGACCGATCACTTGCTGTCTAAATATCCCAGTCCTTGACATGCGCCGTTGTTACGAGATAATCAATGTTATCACCCCTTCATCTGTTACTGGTCACGATGTTTCACAGTGCAACTTCACAACCTTTGAAAAACAGGAGCAAGAGAATTCAAACATAAAGAAACGGAGGCGGTGGTGTTTTGGGATGTGACACACAGACGCCTGTCAGAGTCGATACATTTGTAGAAACACAAGCATATCATCTGTTCCATGAGACAGATGACTGATGGATGTCTAAAACTCTGCAGAGATGCTTTGAAAATGGTGTCAGTGTGTGTTGCCCTTTAGTCTGCAGTGTGTTCCTGTGTCTGAGAGCTTGGGCTGTCACTTTTTATTTGAAATTTTTAGATACTGGAAAAAGAAAAATGTGGCAAAAGAACAATTCAATCTGTAATGATCTGTTTGAAATCAAAGTTCTCAGCGTATAAGCACAGGTTTGTCTGTCTGGCCCAGTGAGTAATGGGATATTGTTTTTCTCTTTTTGCGAAAACAAAATAAGAGAGAACGAGCGTGCGTTCCGGTATATAGTAATCACAACACCAAACTGTGTGGATTTTGTATCTGACATCCTAGATTTCTCTGTTCCTCCACAGCCTTCCCTTCATGAATAAAGGTCAAGTACTTTTGTTTTAAACATAACTCCCCCTCACTCATGTGAGCCAGTGGACACACCCTGTATGAAAGATTTTACCTGGCTCTACCTCTATACCCCCCTCCTTACGTTATTTAATCCTGCAGTTATATAAATAAGGAGACAGCCAATCAATATTCCTGTGCAAAGTGAGGAGGGATCATATCGTGACTAGATGACTAATAGATAGACAAACGAGGGGGGTCTCATTAATATTTGATCCTGAATAAGACGAGGCAAATGTTATCCTTGTTGAGCCTTACATGATAAAGTTTACACCTGATACTGATGTGAAGTTTTCATTCTGTGTGAAATCCCGCTGAACTGTGATCCAGACTGCAGGATCTGACTTTTTATTTTGTATGAGCAGCAGTCCCTCTGAGAGAGAGAGAGCTCTGTCCGTGGTGCTGAAAATCAGGCGGCAGCTCGTCTTAACATACTGATCGCTGATGTTGTGGGCTCTGTGGAAGCTGCTGTCATACTAACAGTGGGGAAACGCTGGCTGTCAAGTCTATGACACACTGAATACAACTTAGCAACAACTTAAAACACGAGCGGCTAACCATGGGTACTGATACCACTTATGGTTGAATGAAATGTAATACTGATGACTTGAAGAGTTTATGTTTGCTTGTAGATACCTAATTTTGTTAGTTTTGTTTACTTTACAGTTTAGCATTTAAAGTCAATTATTTTCCAGGGGAATACATTCATGTTTGTCATACATATATTTAGTAATTTATTGTTTTTGAAAATCAGTCTTCCGGTCAGTTTTTCTCATCCTCCTCCACATTATGTCTTACTCATGTCTTATACAATTTCCTTGAGTGTCATTTACTCATTCATTTCCCCCACCAGCTTCAGCTGATCAGTGGAAATCTGTTCTGCTGCCTGGCACAGCATGAAAGCAAATCTCTGCACAGACATTATTCAAAACCCTAAAAATCAAGAGGCCTTCTTCCTGCAATGGGCTAGAGAGGCAGAGTGTAAATGACGACTCAGTATTACTGTATGAGCTCAGGCACCGCCCTCAGACTTGTTGTTTTTTATACTACACACTCTGTCATTTAATAATAAGCAAGTAGTGGTGTAAGAGTGTGCCCAGTCGGAAGAGGTAGACTTGCATATTTTAAAATATTGTCATGAGGTGTTCTGTCTTTGTTAGAGGGTTTGAATGTGTGTGTGTGTGTGTGTGTGTGTGTGTGTGTGTGTGTGTGTGTGCGCATGACAGCGGTGCTTTTCAGAAGGCTTTTGGGTGCAGGCTGCAGCACTTTAGCCTGAGGATTTTTTTCACACACAGGACCAGGCATTCATCCAGTATTGACTATAATGTAGAATCAGCCCACGCATGGCTGAGCTCAGTCAATGAGCGCCAGTCTGATTCCCTGCATCAAAGCACCAGAGATATAAGGGGCTGGATACTGTAGCTCTGTGTGTGTGTGTGTGTGCGTGTGTGTGTGCATGCCTCTGCGTGGTTATAGTGAGTGCTTTTCCCATTAGCTTTCCTAGATTTCTCACAAATGCAGACACATTCACACAGAGGAGAGAAAAAATAAAAGGTCACAGATTAAAATACAAAAAGAATCCAGGAAATGTTTTAAAAGAGAGAATGAAAGGAGAGGAGGAAATGGGCAAAAAAAGATTAGAATACAAATAACATGAGTTACAAAATTAATCCAGGAAGTGTTTTGAGGAGGAGATGAGACAAGAGGAGAGGAGGAAACAGGGAGGGGAGAGGTGATACAAGGAAAGGATTGGGGTAGAAAAAGGAGAGGAAATGGAGGAGAGGAGAGGAAACACGAACAGAAGGGAGGGAATGAGCGAGAGGAAAAGAGGGGAGGAAACAAGGAGGAAGTAATGGGAGAGAGGAGAGGAAACAAGATGAGGAAATGAGGAAAGGAGAAGAAAGAGGGGGAGAGGAATACAAGGAGAGTCAAGAGAATAAACAAGAGAGGAGAAAACAATAGGAGAGGAGAGAAAACAAGTAGAAGAAAAGAGCATGAAAAATGAGGAGAGGAGTCGAGGAGGAAGTGAAAATAAGAGCAGGGAGCAGGAAGCAGATGGACTGGTAGCAGCAGTGTGTACAGGCCATGATGAATGGCTCTTTTTAAAAGTGTAAGTCTCTCTGTGCTCTCTGGAGAGGAAGAGGTGAAAGGAAAAGGGACGGTGGAGGCTCAGCAGTCAGACACTGACAATGTGCATCACAGTGGAGGGTAAAGACGGGACAACAGGAAGGGAGAGATGAAGCAGAGGCACAAACTGCACACCCCAGCCCAGATGTGCACTCTGTGTGCTTTCCTCTCCACACGCTGCAGCTGCTTCCATCTAGTGTCCGGCTCTGGCCCAATCAGCACAACATGCGTTAGCGTCAGTCTGCACACTGGCCTGTGGCTGTGTCTTTGACGCTGATGCTTATTGCGGCTGGCTGCTGCTCCACATACAGCCCCGGGGCTACACATTTATCAGCTGGTAATCAGCTGGCCGTTTGCACACTGTGCTTGCCTGGGCAGCCGCCGCCGCCGCAGCTTTCTGTCCGTACACTGTGTGGACCAGGCAGCGCATAGGACATGATGGAATATCAACATCATCATTGTTAATTACTGTACAGTCAACTTACTCCAGCTGCTGATTTACATCTGGCAGGACAGTGTCAATTTTGGCTCCTGACTTTGGTATAGCTTCAGTTTTAATCTCTTTATAGAAACTAGTTTTAGTCACTATTTATTTATAAATAAATAAAATATTATTATTATTATTATTATTATTATTATTATATTTAATAATCATATGACAAAGCAAAAATTACACATAACATTTATAAGAACAGGGTGGCCACCTTATGGGGGATCTTTTCAAAAGCAGTTAGTATCAAGCAAATAAAAATAAAGAAAATAAATAAATAAATAAAAGAACATATATCGATTTACACTTACACTAAAGCAGGAAAAATAAAATGAAGCCACCTGGGTTACAACAATCCTCTGGCCATGACTGAAGGGATGTCTGGTCCAAAATAAGTTACGAACAGGTCCCAAATTTTCAGATGAACGTTGTTGTTGTTTTTTTTATTGTGATAAGTGTCAGATCTGTTCGTGTGTGACTCTGTGCCAGTTAGCTTAACGTTGGTTCCTTATCTGTGATCCGACATCAACACCCAGGAATTCATGCCAGGTTTATTAGAATTTTGTGACAAGATCACAAACAGTGAGTGAGGCTCCCAGCCTCTATTTCACATGTGGGACACGATGCGGAGGAGTCTGCCTTCAACTTTCTGTGCTGACTGAGGGATCTACTCTGTGTGTGTTTTAGTCACATGTCCGTGGTTTGATTAGTTTTAGTTCCAGTCAGAGGTTTTCAAAGTCTGACACAGTAACTTGTGTTAGAGTGAAGTTTGCCAAACTCTCTCCAAGGGTTATTGCTAGAATTAATAATATTTTAATTACACTTTTATTTATAATACTTTGTTGTAATACTAAAGCTAACTAGCTCGAAACTGCAGTACAAGAACAGCACTCCTTCTGTATTTCATCCACTGGTCTTTAAGCATCATAAAGTTCATGCAGCCATCACACACTTAGGCCTGTTATATTTAAAACCCTTTTACAGGTTTCGACAAATCAGATGGAAACATTAAAGGTCAGCTAAAGAAAATCAGGAGCATTAGCATCAGCATTAGCGTACTCTACGTAGCTACAGCTAATAACAACTGTCAGTGACAGTCATTGTGTCTGTCAACAAGCTCCACAGTTGTCAGCTATAAATCCGAAGCCTGCTTTTGTTTACGTTCGAGTGAAATGGAAAAACAATAGTTTCAGAAATGACTGTACGATTCCAAGTGACAAATCTGCCACTGCCATTATCATAAACAGATTATTTTTCAATGCAAGAACGAGACGCTTGACAGGCTGAACAATAGTCACTACAGAGGACGGGGCCACATGATACGAAATATATTGTTAATACAATTTTGGACTTTCTGAAAAGAATGAAATTCATCATCGAGGCTCCTCGTAACAAACTTTTACTCTGCAGTCCGGTGTCAAACTGGGATAAAATCTATAACATACAGTTCAACGCAAAACCAAAAAGGATAGCAAGACACCACTGTAATGACATAAAGTACGGTTTCACACCACAACACACTAACAGCTGCTCATTTGTAGCTGAAACAGCTTCAGTCAATACAGTCAATAGCTGCAAAGTAGCTGCAGCTTCCACAGGGAGTCGTTTTTAGTCCAGTCCGCGGCTCAGCCCGGCTGACCCTGCACACACTCCGTCCTTTTCATTATGTGGAATTTGTCAGAGGCCATGTGCAAAAGCTTTAAAGATTATTCTCAAGCAATAAGAAGAGACACTTTGAATCAGATTTATGTAGCAGCTTCTATCAGTCTGCGGTCCCTGGGCAGGAAGACACAAACACTGCAAAGTAAATGTTAAGATAAGAAAATAAAGCGTGTTCACACCTGGAGAACTGAAGACGCTGAATGTCTTGAAAGGAGGCCTAGTCGTTTTTTTTTTTTTCTGTTTAGTTTTTTCCTTCTGGGAAAATAAATCCTCACCGTCATTGACAAGTTGTTCCAAAGTCCAGGGACAATAAAAATATAGATTTTCGCCTTTCAGAAACTAATATCAGTCATTCCAGAGGAGAAATCATGTCAGATGGAAGAGACCGAGCTGTTTGTTCCACAGCCAGTTGAAATACCCAGTGAACACGGGTTTCCTGGGTATTTCATGTAAGTTGATGAAGGAGAAAATAAGCAAGGATATGAATTAATAATAATAATTTATGCTCGGCGTAAGTTGAACATCATTAACCAATCATGTAAAATCACTTCCTGTTTGCAGAGCAGTAAGTCTGTACCATATGGGGAAGTGTGGCTTCTTCCTGTAGGAGTAACTGAAGGCATCCTCACATGATACAGTACGTGTGTGTGTGTGTGTGTGTGTGTGTGTGTGTGTGTGTGTGTGTGTCGCCTCAACCAGCAGTCCCTCCTGGCACCGACATCCCTCTAATGGGGAGCAAGGGGCTGGGGAGGGGATCGAGGAGGTGGAGAGGGAGCCGGGTTGCCAGAGCACAGGTTAATCCACTAATTGGGAGCAAAGGGAGACGGGTTGCCAGATTGTGATGGCCACCAGGAGGGGCCGTTTAAGGGGGACATCTGTTCCTGCTGGAGAACAGCCGCCCTCACAGCTCCCTAGTTTCCTCTCTGACACTCATCTTCTTTATACACAAACCTGACAGAGAGCCCCCCCCCCCCCCTTCCTCACTAGAGTCGAGTGGCACATCCAACTCGTGGAGATGAGCCTGTTTCCCTGACTGGACCAACCGCCAGGATCCGGTTGGAAAAGAATAAAAGCTTTAGAGGAGTTTGCATGAGTGCAGTTCCTTTACAATGGGAAAGAGTTTGTCTTGCCAGGCGTGTTGTGTCAACTGAAGCCAGTTCACTATTTCAACCAGCAATTATGAGCAGTGTGTTTCGCCCAATGTGGTATATTTCAGCCAGGACAATATCAGCCTCAGTTTAACCAGCAAACATATTCAGGAGCTGTAACACCGGAGCAGCGGAAAAAAAAGCATTCAGAAAGCACATACTGTTATTATGGTAATAGAAAATGTTTACATCGTTTGAATGCGTATCAAAAAAAATACAGTGATAACCGTGGGATACACGGGATATGTAAAATATTTTCAAAACAGTTTCACAAATGTTTTATGGCGAAGAAAAAGTCATTCAACCCATCTGTGAGGCCACATAGAGACACACGATGAATACTGACTGAAAAACTGTTTGCTAAAAAACTCCTTAAAGAAATTCAGGAAACTAGTGAGATGTACAGAAAAAGAAAAATGCTTGTTATTCCTTACTTGTTTGTTGGCACCTGACAAAACTCACAAACTAAAACTTTATTGATATTTGTCGTCTTGTGTTTGTGATATCTTGCAAACTAACAAACAAACAGGACTAAATACACAACAATCTTAACCATCACTGTTTTGTTTTTAATGGTCTGTGCCACAGGGTTTCCTTACTGTCTACCTCTGCACATAAAGAAGACACTACTTCCTGCACTGACATTGATTGTAGATTGTGAGGTGTTGAACCGTCCAATATGGACGCACTTCCTAGAAATACCTGGCTGTTGTTAACAGAGGTAATTATTGGGCTTAAGTAAAGAGAAGGTGTTTTTCTTTCTTTCGTTTTCAGGGGAAATATCCACCGCATTTGTTTCTGTTGAGGAGGTGGAGACGGCCAAAGACAACACTAAGTAAACAAAGATAACGATCATTGGGAGTGAGCTGATCTTTCCCACACCGGTGGACAGCACATGAATGGAACATTAGTTTCCATAAAATGATTAACATTGAAACCATTGAAACCAGATACAGATTCCTGTGTGTTGTACTAAATGAAGCCGTTCCCCCTCCTTCCCTTGACGTGTCCTGTCCCGTGTGTCTGACTGTTACAGGATACGCCATCCTGCAGGCCATCATGGAGAAGGCGGGACAGAACAACTGGCAGGTCAGCGCCATCTGCGTGGAGAACTTCAACGACGCCAACTACCGACGACTGTTGGAGGATCTGGACCGGAGGCAGGAGAAGAAGTTTGTGATCGACCTCGAGGCCGAAAGACTGCAGAACATGCTGGAACAGGTGATGCCACCGTGACATCAGCATTTTCATTATTTCACCTGTTCAAAAGAAGCACGGCGATCAGTTAAGATCCGATGCAGAAACCTTCCCAGAGCTATCAGACCGACAAACATGCAAGTCTTAATGTTCATGTTAATGCAGCGACACTGCGGATCAAATAAAGGTGCAATATTTCACCTAAAAGAAGTAGAAGATTTCAGCTTTTAACATGATTTCACAGGGTGTGAACACGGCAACAACATAGAAGCTCCAAAGTGGCACCGTAATGATTGCCACCTGGCTGAGAGCTCGGCGGACTTTACACGGTGCTTTGTGTACTGTAGGTCCAGGCAGAAACATCCTCATAAAGTAGATTTGTGTTGGCTGATCTGGGTTTTTGGCTTCATTGGTTTGTTAGCTTGCCAACTAAGCGAGGCCATAAAAAGCCCAGTATTATGTGTCAGCTACCCAACATGTGGAGTGCTAATGTTAATGGCGTTTAATGGTCTATTCCATACGGCTGAGACGATTCAGCAACGAAGTGAAAATTGTAAATCTGTAGTATGGCCGGCTGGTAAATGACGAGTCACCTGAGACATTAAAAGAATACTATGGATTATTATAACTTGCATTTTATTTTGAAGGTCACTGCCATTGTTCCTATCGATGCTAAAAAAACAAAACAAAAACAAAAACGTACCCACCAAAGTAAAGTGCTGAGATCTCCGAACATGTGGAGCAACAAGTAAGCGGTGAAATGATCATACATGTTGTGAACCAGCGGTTCTCAAAGTGGGGTCCGGGGACCCCCAAGGGTCCTTGAGGGGTTCATGGGGGTCCCAGCCAAAAGAGGAGTAAATTATTTTCATTTAAATTCCATCCATAAGCAACATAATGACAGAGCATATGACTATTTATGTCACGGGTTTCAAACACTTTCTGTAATAAAACATCTAAAAGTGGAGGAGGACGTGGGACAAAATCTCTTTAAACGAGGGTCCGTGGTCTAATTTGTGTCACTTTAGGGTCCGTGAAGTGAGAAAGTCTGAGAGCCACTGTTGGACACAACCCAAGATGTAGTTTTTGTTTGAATTTTTTTTTATCTGTAGGGTTATTTTTGTAGTTTTATTCGTGTTGGTTATGACGACGCCTACATTACTGAGCTGATTTCTCATTCTGAGTTAGTGCTTCACACTCAATGTTTGTTTCACTGGGTTTTTTTTTTTAATGTTTGTGCTAATTAGAAAAGTTTTGAACTCAAAACAGTCTGTTCTGATCTCCGGTGGTGTTATTTGGCATAAACACACTCAGAATATGTTGTGCGTCTTCCTCCTCCTCCTCCTCCTCCCGCTCCTCTTCATCCCTTCATCCCTCCATCTTTCCCTGGAGCTACTGGTGTCTCTGTAATTGTTCAATTATTCAGGAAATCTCCACTCTGACATCTGTCATAGTTCTAACAATTTACGTCGCGGATGTGTGTGTGTGTTTGTGTGTGTGTAAATCCCTTTCCCCCGCAGAGCAGCAGACATCCCGCTCCATCCTCGCTTGATGCCAGTACACAGAACATCTCTCAAGTAGACGTGATGGACTCTGTCAGATTTAGAGCTTGTGGGATGATGCACTGTTTTGTGCAGCGGTGGTCAGAAATGCTGCCAAAGATGCAAACATCTCTTTTATCCTGCGTTCGTTCTAACCGTCTCCCTGTTCATATTTACATGGTGCCAAATAATTCTGATCCAGGACAAGGATTTGAATTCATAACTGCTTCATTAGCTGCTTATTCACTGCACCATCAGAACATATCAGGGCCTATAAAGCAACCAGGCGTTACTTTGGACGTCGGAGCGTGAAGTATCTGAATGCAAACCTGCTTCATTTACACATGGAAATGTAATTTGCTGACAGCTAATTTGCAAGTTGTGCAAACTGTGTCATAGCTGCTAATTAACAAAGGACTGAAGACTTACAGGTTTAAAGTTACAATTATAATTAAAAAAATAAATAAATAAAATGAATAAAAAAAGTGCAGGAAAGGTCAAAGTGAACTACAGTTTCTGTTTCAGACTTAAATGTATCGACAATTTAACATAACAACAAGTCACTTTTACTTTAAAGGGCCAGTGTGGAGGATTTAGTGGCATCTAGTGGTGAGGTTGCAGATTGCAACCGTCTGAATCCCCCTCCCCTCACCCCGTCTCCCTTTCCAAACATGTAGGTGAACCTCCGCTGGCATGAAAACCCTGCTCTCCAGAGCCAGTGCTTAGCTTGTCCATTCAGGGCTACTGTAGAAACGTGGCAGTGCAACATGGCGGGCTCTGCTAAATACATAGATATGAAGGACTCATTTAAGGCTAACAGGTTATTATACACTGATGAAAACATGATTATAAATACTATATTCCATTTCTGCCAATAGATCCTCCTGAATCCCACACACCGGTCGTTGTCTGAGGCTGAATTGATTGTCATCAACAAAATGAGTTTATTAATCCATGAGACACTGAGAAAGAGCCAGTTTGAAGTTTCTGAGGAGATTCTTCTCGTCTATTAAAAAGGATTTTTTCCCCTCACAGTGCGGAGTAAAGGAGGTAAAAACAAAACAAAACCAAAATGAAAACTGGTACGACCATAATAATGATCATTCCGGCACTCCCCTCCTTTAATTTTCAATTTTCATCCACGCCAGCTGCACAGAATTAAATGAGCCATTCAAGGCCTGTGCACTGCTGGATATTATAAAAACAGGCAGCAGAATCTCTGTCTGATGATATTTGTTTGGTGATTCACTGCGATAAGTGGGGTGCAAGTGTCCCTCGCTCTCGCGTTAGGCATTTATTAAGATTTAAAATCCATCAGCCTGTGAGAGGAAGAGAAAACACTCACTTTTCCTGTTAGTCATTAAACCTCTAAACCTTCCTCTGCGTTGTTTTCCCACGTAAAGGTCCCGTCACGTCTGAAAAAGACCGTTACAGAACATCTCCTCACCGACAGACAGACGGATGAATTCCATGTCGGAAAAGTGCTCAAGTAGTTGAAGTTTGTGGATTTTTAACAACCACAAATGATGCAGTATACGATGGTCAGTAAACTACAACCTGTGTTTGCTTTGTGACAATAGAGCAGGTAAAGAAGTGAACACGTCCTTCGAGGTAACTTCACACCTTTTGATTTTTATGTCTCTTTCAGTTTTAAGTTCCAGACCCTAAACGCAGCACCAGAATTAAAAAAAATAAATCATCCTTACTCCTCCACAGACATCACGGTGAATGGGTTTTTGATTGGAGCTACTTTCGACTAAAGCAGCAGTCCCAATGAAAACTGTTGGATAAACCGACTCTTTAATACGAGCTAATTAACTCGCTGAATCTCCAGCCTCTCAGTAGTGGATGCTGATCTCTCCTACAGGTTTCATGATGATCTTCAGATTGATATAACGGGTGTGTTTTGTTATTTTTGCTTCTGTTTTAATCTTGGATATTGCAGCTGTGAGCGACACTGACACTGACACAACCTGATGCTCAGGTCTTCACATCAGTGAAGCTGTTGGGGAGCTGATATCAATCCAAGCCTTTTTTCTGAGGGATTGTTTTTTTTTTTTTTAGGATTAATTCATGCCCTTATTAACCGGATGTCCAGTGGGATTTCCCGGCAGATGTCAGCTTTCAAAATCAGTTTATATCACCGTGATGCAGCTCTGTTCTCGTACTTGTGTGTGTGTGTGTGTGTTTTGTGTGGGAGTGTCGGGAAGCGTTGTCGTGTCCCTGAAAGCGTGAAGTGTTTACCTCCTCAGTGAGACGCTGACACGACCGCCTGTTCATTTGTTTGGACGTCCGATCTTCTACAGATTAAACCCTGACGGTCCCACCGTGTCAGGACGCGCACGCTCGCCTGCCATACGCATCATTTCAAGTAATTAACGTGTGCTGTGCTGTGATCCAGTCAGATTAACATTGATCTTTGCTCCGCCTCCTCGCAGATCGTCAGCGTCGGGAAACACGTCAAAGGCTACCATTACATCATGGCCAACCTGGTGAGAGAAAATCACACCTCTTCACATGGTGTCCTTGTCTGTTCCTGTCTTTCTTTTCATCATTGTCTGTCTTCACCCCCATCTCTCTCTCTCTCTCTCTCTCTCTCTCTCTCTCTCTCGCCTTCACAGGCCTTTGTTCAGACAATGTTGTGTTATTGATCTGTAGACTGTGGCCTGGCTGTGGGAGCAGACTACACTTACCCAACCACACCGCCAACACTGGCATCACCAACATGGAGAGCAAAGACAGGCTGTAATAGTTTGAATTGTATAAGCGACAGAATACCTGACTGTGAAATCTAATGGCCACAGAGCACAGGACACCAGAGTTAAATGTAAACAGCACTGCAACATTTCACCTTGACGGTTAATTTCAAATTGTGCAATTTCAAAAACCTAATATTTTCCTTCTGCGTCACAAGCTCAGATAAAAAAAAAAAAACTTCACCCGATAAACGTTAAAGCAACATTTTAGTGTTTCTCTTATTGTTACGTCACGGTGCAACGTGTGACTTACACTTAATGTGTGACGTGGAAACTTGAAGTCTGCAGTGCACATACACAGAGAGTGGAAGCAGGAGACGTTAGTCAGTGAATTTTAACCATGTCATTAATCTTTTTTGGTGGAAAAATCTAATTATAATTCCAAGCAGAGTATTTTTTCATGTCCTGAAACATGTCTGGAGCCGATCTTGAAGTGTTCAATAGTGGATGAATTTCACAGTTGAGTATTCAGTTGCTTATGTCACTAGAGGCAGGCTGAAAATAAACCGAAATAAAACATCAGCTTTTCTTGTTGTTAAGTTATAGTAAACTCTTTGGGATTTTTGCACCATCAGTTCGACAAATCAAACAATTTCAGTATGTCACTTTGCGCTCTGGGAAATTGGGATGGACGTGTTTTTATAGACTAATTGATAATTTACGATTAATTGATAATGAAAATAATTTCTACACTAAATAATGAAAGTTTCATTTCACATCAACCTTCCCTTCTTTTATTTATCCTCCCACCTCCATCTGTTATATGATGAAAAGCAGCAGAATCTGCTTTATAAATACATTTTCATAAATTATTGATGTCACTCTCCTCAGGAACCTGATTAGAAAATACTAAATTCGCAATCAGGAACTTGAATTTTCATCCATAGAAAACTGAAGATCAGGACTAAGTAGCATTTAGACACAAACTCATTCAATTCAATTTAATAAACTTTATTTGTCCCCAGGGGGCAACAAAACACAAAAATACACAACGATGCAACGTACAAAGCAATAAACAATGGTGCAAAAATAAAAGCTGTAATATTAAAATGAGAAAGACAGTAACAATAACAACACGTATATGTTATAAATAACTGACACATTTTGATAAGAATTTGGCCGATAGTCCTAGTGCAATAAAAACTATGTTATATATCTACAGTATAATGTGCAGAGGTGCATATATATGAGAGCTATATGAGGTGTATGGAGACAGGACATTGCATGTACAGTAAATAAATGTACTGTAGTTCAGTGGCAGCTGCTGCTAAAATGTAAATCAAAGTAGCTGCTGCACTTCATTGTAAATTCTGTAACTTCTCTCCATCTCTGGATTCAGACCATGACCGCTCTCTCCCCTCTCTGCCCCTGAAGGGTTTTAAGGACATCAACCTGGAGCGCTTCATGCACGGTGGAGCCAACGTGACGGGCTTCCAGCTGGTCGACTTCAGCAACCCCATGGTCATCAAACTGATGCAGCGCTGGAACAAGCTGGATCAGAGGGAGTATCCCGGCTCGGACGCCCCACCCAAGGTATGACCTGTCAAAGTCAGATGAAAACAGATCAGACCAGCAGTGCAACACAACATTTATCTTGTTTTGTTCTTGTTTTTGGTGATGTGGTACTCGAGCTGTGTGTAAAGACTCTCCTGAAGACTCGTTGGTGGTGGATTCGGAGGAGCTGGCGAGCTATGCTGTCACAAAATCAAATCCACAAAACACATATAAAGCAAAAAAAAAAAAGAAGATTTTTTACAAAGGATTCTTTCCTTCTCACATCAAAAAAAAGTTGGTGTTCAGAAGCCAACTGTGAAGTCTCAGATGTGAGATTTAAAGCAAGTTTCAAATGTTTCTGCAGTTTGATTTTTCAGACTGTGGTGAAATGAACTGAATCCAACAGCTACCTGTTGGGCTGTGCCACCAAACAACTACGGCTCATTAGATCCCCTGGTAAAATAAATGAGTAGCTGGATGCTCCAGAATCTCCTTCAGTTAAACAAAGGACAAAACTGAAGTTATTGTCTTTGAAGCCGAGGAAGAAAGACTCAAAAGTCAGCGCTCACTGAAAAGTAAAAATCAAGCTAGAAACCTTTGGTGTTATCTCAGATTCAAACCTGAATTTCAGCAGTCACATTAAATCAATAATATAATCGACCTTCAGTCAGAGACTCGATGTCAAAAAGCTCGAGAGAAACTTGCACATGCGTTTATCTCCTGCAGGCTGGACCACTGCAGTGGTGCTGTTTACAGGTCTGTCTGAGACAGCAGTCACACAGCCGATCCAGGGTTGTAACAAAAAGCTCAGCTCCTAACTCCAGCTCTCAGATCACTTCATTGGTCACCAGTCTCTCAAAGAATTAACTTTAAAATCCTACGACTGGCCCATAAATCACTGCACAGCTTAGGTCCGACCTGCTGAACCAGTATGAGGCTTGTAGACGGATCAGGTCGGCTGGTGCAGGAATACTGGTTCCAAAGGTTAAAACTAAATATATTAAAACTGAATTATATTTGTAATTTTTTTTATTCTGTATGCTTTGATTATTTTAATTGTACTTGCTTGGGTTGGTATGAAATGTGTGAGCACGGGCAAGTACATTTCATGCTATTTACGAGTAGTAGGCTAAAAAAATGCAGAACCTCGGTCTTTTCATCATCCCTTTGGGGTGGCTGAGAAAATATAAGTAAGCACAGTGCCAGATAAGATAAAGAGTGTATGATTATATAGCAGCCTGTTTGCAAGGTGTGCAGAACATCAGCAGCAGAAACACTGAGACAGAAATATACCAGAGACGTCTACGTGACGCAAAAACTAACAAACAGCAGCTGTGATTAAAAGGTGTCCGTGAGCGTCTACGTATGAGGAGCAGGAGTCCGCTCCACCTCGTCCACCGCCGTCATACGCAGCAATGTGACAGACTGACCCACTTTACATTCTTTTCAGCCACGCAGATTGCAAATGGCACTGGGGCAAGAAGGCATCACGCCACGGCGGTCAGCAAACCTCCTCCCCTCCAGCAAATCTGTGTGTCCGACAAAGATTTCTATTTTAAAATCCAGATGAAGTGGAGTGGAAACGGTGTGAGTCAAGCAGAGTGCGTGTGCGTGTGCGTGTGCGTGTGCGTGTGTGTGTGTGATGGTTAGGGGTGGTTCAAATCAAAAGTTTACACCACAGCACGATATCAAATGACATTATGTGTGTGTGTGCGCATGTTTATCCCCACTCCACTCCTTGATAAATTGCTCTCTCTCCTGGAAATCCACTCACACTAAATTACCCTGCTCCCCACTAAGTTTGTCCACAGCCTAATGCATTAACATGGCCGGTGAGTTGGGTCTTCTTCTGGCATGTTTACTCACTTTGCAAAGACTAATGCGATGCCGCGATGTGTTTAAAAGGTCCAAGAATCAGCAGGAAGTGAACCCACAAGACATTCCTGTGCTATGTATGACAGCAGACCTGGAGTCCCAATGATGTTAGATCCTATTTACACTTGGTATTAACGTGTAATGTGTATTTGGATATGTTATCTGGATCACAACATCTGATCTGATCTTTGTATTTACACTTGGTATTAATAAGCACTCTTGTTATTTTGCAGTAGAAACCACACAAACATGGTCTCTGCAGCTAATTTCCTCCTTCATGACAACTGCACAGGGGGTGAATTTTTATACAACTCACCTGTTTACATTTTATTAAAGCTTAAAGTTCTGCATAATTAAGGTCGTGTCACTTTGAGTGACAGGTGGGTGAGCGTAAGCTTGCCAAAAACCAACATTCACCGAAGTCTCGGCCTCACACTCCTCTTTGCCCATTTTTGGATTAGCCAGGAGTTAGGCGGAGTCAGGCACTGCCAAGATGGTGACGGTGGAGCAGCTCACTCTGATAACCGCTCTTCACAAAGCTAGATCTATCTTCATTTACAGTCTATGGTTTGGTGGCAGACATGTTTTAACCCCATGCAGCCAACTGCCTTTAAATCCACCAGCATGTCATTAGCAGTTGAACTGGGATCAGCTTTACAACAGCGGTTACATCTACCAGCCAGCAGAGGGCGTCAAACCTCAGTTTTAACCTCCCAAAACAGCATGACCCCTCTGATCAGCGCCCACATCTCCCAGGTGGTTCAGTGACACGTTGTCTTCCTGGTTTGGGGCAACAATTGACCAATCAGAGCTTTGCAGGCAGGATTAAGAAGGGGGATGTCAATTTGCTACATAGCTATGGCTAGCTAGCTATCTAGCCATGTTTATGAAAAATAGTGACAGAAAAATGTTGTAATTTGACTTGGAGAACAAATGAGTCTTAAATTGTGATTTTTCTTCAATATGTCCATTGAAGAAAAAGAAACTGGTTGATGTCTGACTCGTGTCATGTGATCGTCACGCTGCTCTGAAGCTCCATTGACAGAGAGAACCCGCCAGCGTCCCATGTTTGTATGAGAGTGAATCGCTGTGAAGATGGTCCTGACTGTTAGTTAGTTTATCACGCACCTCCATTGTTTGCGTGTACGTGTGTGTTACTTTGGGCAGCTTGTCAAAGAGTAACCGGGGGATAGAGTGCGGCAGCCTCCGTAGAGAGCCATAATGTCACAGTGAGTAGTGGGCTAATGAATAGGATTCACCCCCGGCCGGAGGCAAAGTTAATGAACTCCTGCTAGCTGGGATAATTAATGCCAGACTGCTACCCGGCTGGACAAAACACTCTCCTTCTTCCTTTCTTTGCCCCCGCTCGCTCTCCATCTTGCTGCCTTTTCGTCATTCACTCAATTAGTTGTCCGCAGCGCCAGAGGTGAGTTTTAGGGAAATGCATGGCTCATGAGGGAGAGAGCGATTTTTGTAGACACAAATAATCAGAGGCAACACGGAGTCTTCAGGTCAAAGACAGATTTGGGGAAATTGGGAGGTTTACACTGTGGGGAATATGCTCTTCTCTTCTCGCCCTCTCCTCTCTATTCCCAGAAAAATAATGAGCAGAGTAAAACTGCTGCGTCTCTGCAACAGCCAGGCCGTTACGGCATGCAGCTTGGCCCTGCAGAAACTCAGCGTGCTCTCAGAGGCAGCCTTACGCAGATTGTTTTTAAAGAGATCTGACCAGCAAATATTGCAGAACATTTCGCCTGTCCAGCTAAATCAGCATTTAATTGGCCTCATACCTTGTTTTTTCTGGTGCGTGTCCCCCAGTGCTGTACATACCCAAAACAGACAGAACAGCAGGGAAGGTCTCCAGGTTGCAAAGACTGTAATTTACAAATCACAATGCTCCATCCCTACTGGGTTTTTATTTCCTTTTGATGAATGTAATAGGCCTGAGCTGAACCATAACTCCTACTGCAGTGGTTTTATGCGATGTTAAGTTGTTGTATTTTAGCTGGAGAACCATGTACATAGCCCAGCTGTGCTCACACACAGTAACATCTGTATCTCTGATCACCCACTCTTCGTCCCTCAGTACACGTCGGCGTTGACATACGACGGGGTGATGGTGATGGCCGAGGCCTTCAGGAACCTGCGCAGGCAGAAGGTGGACATTTCCAGGCGGGGGAACGCCGGCGACTGTCTCGCCAACCCCGCCGCCCCGTGGAACCAGGGCATCGACATGGAGCGCACTCTGAAACAGGTCAGAGAGAGGAGGAGGGGCAGCGGGGAGGTGGTGGATTTGGGGGTGGGGGGGATTTACAGAGAAATGCAGGGTGTTTGGAAACTGGCTTCAGACTGCTGAAAGATAAGACATCACACACTGATGTAATCTCATCCTCCGGAGATTTCACAGCTGCCTTTCTTTTCCTTCACTTGCAGAAACTGTTGTTGTACAACTCAGAAAAAAAACATTTTTCTTGAAATAGTTACAGCGTACGGCTCCCGATAAAACCACAATTTGTCATTTTTAGATTTCAGTTTGAGAACAGCTTCAGTAAATGAAATGTAACCTGGTCGTTAATGAGGTTTGAAGATGCTGGTAGGGGTGTAAGCAGGCTAGCTGTTTCCCCCGCTCTCAGCCTCTATGCTAAAATACATCCTCTTAATGTATGGACATGATACTGACAATGATCTTCTCATCTCAAGCTAGATTTACAGTTGACACAAGGGGTTAATAGGAATCCCAAACCAATTACAGTTCAGCATTGGATTGCGAGCGCCACCACAGCTCCAGACGGATGTAATAAACACAATCAGGCCGTATCATCCTCAATAACTGAGTTTACATTCCTCTCTTTTCCCTCTGATCGGGCGACTGTTGTTTTATTACTGAATACGGGGCGATTCTGTGCAGCTGTTGCATTTATTTTCTTTCATTCACTAATGGGGGGGGTGGGGTGGGGGGTGTTATCGAAAAGAAGAAGATAACAGAGTCTTTTTTCTTTTTCAACTTGCTTCATGTTGTATTCGCTCTGATCTTTCACGATCTCCACGGGCGTCAGAAACCTGTAGGAGGAAACACCAGCAGTCACGCACAGAGCCCACAGCCATCGTAGCCCCCGCATGTAGTTACATTATTGAAGAGGTGTGTGTGTGTGTGTGTGTGTGTGTGTGTGTGTGTGTGTGTGTGTGTGTGTGTGTAGCTACGGAAACTGTTGACGTAGCTCCTGTAAGTGCGGCACAACCTCTTAACACAGTAGTATTAATGAAGCTGCACTCGGAGGAGAGCTTAGTTCCAAAATCTCATGTCTCAAGTGTTAAATTAACTTTAAACTATTAACTATTATATTAACTATTAGATGTATTTTTTTAAAAACAGTGTTTCATCTGCTTATTACATCAATTTCCCCAACTTAAAATATGTAACTTTTCCACATTAAAATGTCTAAAAATGACTGGATCTATGTTATATACTTACATCATCCCAAATGTTTCCATCAACTGTCATACCAGAGAAATTTGTGATTTTAATTATGGTTACGCTCCGTTTCATTTGGTCGCCTGTCAATGACATCATATCCTCTATGTGCATGTGACAGCGTTGTGGTTGTCTGCCAGAAACTCAAAACTGATTTTTAATGTGAAACTACTTTATTCGTTGTTTCTACTGGTTTTTAATCCCCTGGTCTGTTTGTCATGGAGAGGAGGAGACCTCTGCGGATAATTCAGCTGCTGGTAAAAACCTCCTGAACGTCTGGTTCATAAGTTATTAAAGAAACAATCAAAACAAAGGTTGGCATCAATCTGAGCTCCCGACCCTTCCCTGACGTCTCGTGTCCGCCGCACAGCGTCGGTGAAACACTGAATTTAAATGTGAAACTGCTTCATTCAGTATTTTAACTATTATAATCACCAGGTCTGTTTGTTGTGGAGAGGAGGGAGACCTCTGTGGATAATTCAACTCCCGGTTAAAAAAAACCTCCTGAACGACTGACACTGAAGGAAGCCAAACGGGGAGAAGCTTACAGCAGTGGTGGTGAAGACAACTCCTCCCATGATCCCACGCTATTTTTCACGACGTCATCAGATTGTTTTTATTGTTTTGATTGAGAGACCCCTAGCGACAGAAGCTACAAACTCTGAGACATTCTCTGGTAGAAGAATGACCTTCAGACGCTGCAGTTTTCTCTTCCACCTTTCTGTATAATACATGAAGACTCTCTGCCTGCTGTTGTCAGCGGTGTCATTTCATGTCACGGTGTGTGTTCCTCTCTATGTTGTCCTCTGTGTGCAGGTCCGGCTGCAGGGATTAACAGGTAATGTCCAGTTTGACCACTATGGCCGCAGGGTTAACTACACTATGGACGTGTTTGAGCTGAAGAATAATGGACCCAGACGGGTAAAACATCACACCACACTCCTTTTCATTTGTGCTGTTATGGATACATATTTGTAAAGGCAGTAATGCTGTATGTTTTAGCTCACACTCACACACACACTCTGTATGGTTAGAGATATGTGCAGACTGCTGTCATGTGAAGTGTCTGGGGGGCTGGGGACGATACGGTTTTGTAGTGTGGCGTTTTCTATTATCATAAGTAGGCTTCCAGCATCTCTGCTTCTGATATGACGGGATGGATGTCTGAAGATGAAACTCGGGGAAAATGGGAAAAAGAGAGTGGGAGAGAGAGCACTTGTGAGAGTGATGGCGAGAGGGTGAAATGAAATGGAGAACAATCAAGGTAGAGGAGGAGGAGGAGGAGGAGGTGGGGGCGGCGGCGGGGGTGAGGAAGCACAGAGGAGTTCCCATCAATCAAAAGCCGCTTTGGCCTGTCCTCCTGCTCACATTGCAGGTCCTATCAGGACACGGTGTGTGTGTGTGTGTGTGTGTGTGTGTGTGTGTGTGTGTGTGTGGTTGTTTGTGTGTGTGTGTTTGGGTCACAGCCTCTCTCCTACATTTTCCATGTTCCTCAATCATCCTGATGCCCCGGCACACAGGCGATATCAGCCAATCACAGCTCCCCGTTCCCCCTCTGGCTCGCCACCAGCAGCCAGCTGGCTCGCTCAGCATCTCCACTCCACTGGCTGACTTATAGCTGCTTATGGTTGCGGTCGAAGCTCATGTCTGTAATAAGATCAATACATCAGTTTGACACAGTATTGGTTTGCAGATACGTATTGGCTTTTTATTAAAAAAAAAAAAAAAAAAAAAAAAGTCATGTGTCAGGCGGCCGGCGTCGGGTAACTCGTCTCCACATCCCCTTTTTTGTCAGGAGATGTTCATATCATGACGAGCACAGATCATGTCTGTCAGGTCCAGTCAGTCAGTCTGACCCTGAAGGTCTCGTGGAAGGCAACAGTGATGTCCGCTGAACGTGAATGAGCTTTAGAGAAAAAGAAGCAGCGCGACATCGATCTTGTATGAAGGCTGAGACCACGCAATAAATCACACCACTTAGCGTCTTTGAACACAGCACGATGTGATGGTGCTGGTGTTTATAAACTGATACAGTTTTATTGACTAAATTAATAAATAATAAAAACAGGGAATTAGTGTTTGAAAATAAAAGTTCATTCGCTCAGTCGGTCACATGATGACACCGATTCTGGCCCTTTTCACTGATCATGATAACTGTCTGCGCCATGGTGACGAAGGCAGAGACACTCAGAGGCTTTCCTCCATGTCGGACAAAGACCTCTGTTGTGCATGTGTAGTTATACAGTGTATTAGACACACACAGTTGAACACGTGCCCGCTGTGGTATAGATGCACATATTTTCTTTTTCCCGGCAGATCGGTTACTGGAACGACGCAGACAAACTGGTGCTGATCCAGGACTCTCCGCTGCTTCCAAATGACACTTCTGGCATGGAGAACCGCACAGTTGTAGTTACTACCATCATGGTAAGAGACCGGCATGCGCTCGCCAACACACACACACACATGAACACACACACACACAGACACACACACACACACTCAGGCATGCACTCATATTCTTAGCAATTTGTAATGCCAGGAGACTTTATTATGTGGCGCTGCTGCAGATGACACTGAACATAATAGCTGAGGGATATGCAGAGTCAGAAGCCTGAGGTTCAGCGGCTACACATCTTACATCCTGCCTCCCGACATCAAACCCTGCATTCAAATCTCCGACAGCGGCCAGTGTGACAGGAAAGTGTGGTGGGGTCAGCTGCGCTGTTGTGCTTCACCATCTTTTCCTTGTTAAGTGCTTCAGCTTTTCCTGAGGCTCTTTACAAGTGTTACTTCTCTACTCCCTGTTTTTCACCTCTAACATTATTAGCATCTATTTGTCATGAACCTCGTGTTCTTGGGTAACTTTTCTTGTTTGATGCTGTATTTTAACATTGACGTAGACACACTTAAAGTAGATATACATATTTCAGTGCAACGCCCAGAATTTAGCACTTTTATTCCACCTTATGTCGTGTGCTATGACTGACTAAAATTCAGGGATCACAAGCTTTGTCACAACAGCACATTTTCAGTGAAGAAACCCTTAAAGAAATGGGATTTATTTTTATTACTCCGATAGAAACATCAATAAAACATCATGCACCTCCAGGACTAACTGCCGTCACTTAGATTTTCTTTTATTGCACCAATAAACATTTCAAAAAGCAGCCAAACAGCTCCACAACCAGCCGCCGTTAACTGAGGCTTGATGAAAGAGTTCATAACAGCTACAAACCCAATCAAAGCATTTTTTTTATTTTTTTTTTATTTTTTTTACACATGATAGAAGTGAATGGCCTTTGCATGGCATGTGAATCTCTGGCTGTAACAGTGACTCTTGACATGGCTGACTTGAGTAAAAGCCAGCCAGATGTTGAGCGTACATGTAGCAAGCGGAGTGGAGGAGGGAAGGAGGTGGGAATGGAGAGTCACACAGCTCAGCACAATCCTCCCTCTTTTCAGCCCCTGATGAGGAACCCCATTTTAAGAAACTGAGCCCCAGTTGGACGCAAGCAGGATATGAAAGCCCTTAATGGCAGAGTGACGGACACAACAACCCGAGCCAAAACGAAGCCCTAAAGACACTGGGCGAGCGGAGAGACACGGCAATATGTTACGGAACGCCCCCCCCGCCCTGCCATGCGCCTCTCCTCCCCCGTTCAATGAAATCTGAACAAGAAACGGAGCCGCTCAGAGCCGTAATGGAGCCCCCCCCCTCGAGAGGAAAATGAAATGCAAATCGAGGTCTTTTTCTTTGCTCTGTGGATGGACACCCATTGAGACTCAAACGGGTCCCCAACTCTTTAACAGCACAGTGTCTGTTTACTAGCATAAACAAGCTCCCACTACACCTGTATGTGTGTGTGTGTGTGTGTGCATGTGTGTGTGTGTGCTAGCATCATACATTGTCATGCCCCGTGTGTTTGTGTGGCCAATCACGGCTTGATCTCCATCCTGAATTTGAAGTTGTAATTTTTTTTTTTTTGCAAAGCTCCATGGACCCCGAGCTTAGAAAAAAAGAAAAAGAAAAAAGTGAGGCGTTACCAGAATGTGAATATACATTATGTCTAACTGTATTACTGTTTGCTCTAAATCTGTCACTTTCTCCGACTACCTGCTCTACCCTACAGAACATTACACACTCAGAGGGCCTTCCTGTAAGCCTTAAAACAGCTTAGAAAGACTAATGCGCCCATAATCATCCCAGTTCATATCCATCATGCTTTTATGCAGCATGATATTATAGTTACATTGTGACGGTTGCCTTTCACTCCCGCTTTTAATGTGTGTTTCGCTCCGTGTTCGTGAGACTAATGTTTGTTGAGCATGAACTTAATGAAGTGTCACAGTGTTATATTACAGCCAGGCTGCCTCTGTGTCTTAGGAACAGTTATAAAGGAGCACTTCAACATGTTGGCAATTTTTCTTGTTAGTCATCAAACATTGGTTACTTGCCTCCTGGTTTCAGTGTTTAATAATTAAGATAGGTTAAATCATATAATCCCAGACCTGTGTTGGCGCTTTGTGCACAATCCATCAGTTTTGTCACCTGACTGCAGATTTAAAGGCTGCAGAAAGTTGCCAAAGCACATCGAGGAGCTTCTTCCCTGCACTGTTGAGATATTTGTTGTGAACCCAGTTCTACCAGACGCCAGACATTTGGTTTGCTGTAATCGTTCTTGGGGTCAGCACAGAACCTAAACCCCGAGACCTGAACCTGGCCAGCGCATACGCCTTTCAGATCTGACCTTACTGAACCCGGCTGCTGCTGTAGGACTGGAGACTTTAACCTGAGACCTGAGGCTGTATTTTAGTTAATTCTTCTCCAAAGTCATACGCTTGCTTTGGAAAGGCTTTCTCTCACATAGAAAAGAGGTAATCTGACAACAGTAATATACCAACACAGAATATGAAATATGAAATGGCAGCTCACCAACACAAAACATATAAACTTAAATTTTGCAACACTATAGCATTTCAAAAATCAACAACTGTTTAGTAGATCAGCTTCTCTTTTCCCCAGAATTGACCAGATGTTAAACTGTCTAAAATGTCTTTCCCATCTGAACTGAACAACACTCAGTCAGAGCAGAACTTTGTACAGGCACCATCTGGAAGAGTAGGAGTAGTGGAGGATGGTTGGTGGATTGGCAGAGTCAGAAAAAAAAGCATTTTAAAAACAACCCAACCTTAGCACACAACCCGATGTGAGGCTTCTCCGTGACACATCGGCTCGACCGAGTACAGCAGCAGTACCGGCAACCGCTGACAGTTTCTGGAAACTTGCATTTAGCGTCGCCTCCTGAGCAGTGCTGACACTTAGTTCCAGGAACTCATCCCTAAAGTGGGCCGAGAACGGTGGAAACAAAGCACCAGAACCAGATGCATGTTTTTGTTTGAAGTCACGTTTCAGTAGGTTCCTGCCGTGGAAAACTGGCTATAAGTTCCTTTGAAAATGTAGCATGGCTGGCAGAAGCTGCTGGCTTCTATTTTGAACATCGTGGTTAACTAGGTAAGGATGTTACTGACGGGGGCTAAAGGTAACCAACTGTGTTTCAGCCCTTATATAGTAGCAAATTTGTTACGTTAGGCCATTAACGTTCATATTAATTTGGTCCTTGTGAATTAATCCATCTACACCCACGGCATCTTCTTCTTTTGAACGCTGGATTTCATTTTGTGTGCAGCTATCTCAGACTGGTTACAGATAATAGATCTCTGTGATGTCTCCGGCTTGAAGTTGAGAAAAGTTCCCGTAGCCAAGGACAAAGTTTGACTGTCATCATATTGGCAGGACGGGGCTGAAAGCTTTGATGAATGTGCCTTGGCTTTAAACTCCTCCATTGCACTTTAAACCTGGCACACCATCAGTTTGCCAGAGGGTAAGAAATACAGACAAGGTCCTGCTGTAATTATGTTTTAGTTTTGCCTTTGTCCAAGGAATTCTGGTGTGGGGGGGGATGTTTAGATTTTATGGGCAGTGACCACTTTTTATACTGGAAACTCGTCCTGATGATGCAACGGCAGCACATTGAGAACACATGGGGCCCCATGCAAGATGCACTTTTAACAACAGATTTGTTAAGTTGCACGTATGAGTGTTTTAAGAGAACCTGTCACATTCATCATGATTATTTTTAGGCACGAACCCCCCTCACAGTCTTTCAGCAGGCGCACTTCAGGTGTAAACACTTGACGGTGTAACGTCCCCTCTAATGGAGTGTATTCTCTTGTCCATCTCTATGACACATTGAACGCCCCCCGTGTCAAGCACTGCTTTTCTTTAGCATCTAATTTCAGGTCCAACTATTCCTGCATTTTTCTGTCACAGTAAAGTTCTCCGATGACGCACTGTAGACGACTTTACAGCCTGGAAGTAATACTGCTAAATGTTTACATCCAACTACAGGCCTTTAAGCTCCAACGTCCTCTTTTTACTCCTGGGTGACATTTGTTTTTGTGAATGAAAACTGCCGACAAATGGAGGAGAACATTTGGGCGTGTGCGGTTACGACATCCATCAAGTCAAAGCAAACAATTCAGAAAGTAACTGATAAAAATTCACGTTGGAAAATAGAAAAAAGATAGCACTTATTGTTAGCATAAAAATCTAAACCGTATGTTCTTCTTTGATTTTCAGTTTTACTTCATCTTTGCTGCTGCAGGTACACGTGTACAGTTTGTACTGTGTATGATTTTGAGGCTCACGTAGAACAAAAGAGGCTTTCACCAAAACACCATGGTGATTTAAAACCCTTGACAAGGCCATGATGTCCCACTGCAGCAGCCAGTCGAGTGCACCTCATCTGGAAAAGAAATAAATTTGTGCTTTAAATGTTCTTCCCCTTTTCAGTGTCGCACAACCACATTAAATCAAAGTCAAATAAAAATGTGATTAGTGCCTCAAGTGGCTGCTGATGAATGAGACCCAGAAATGAGTCATTTACTGAGAAGCACTAATGTGTGTTTGCTTCATAAAATGTTTTGTGCTCAAGTTATTGTGCAATACGGACCATCATGTTGCTGCTTATCACTGCTCATATTCAAACGTAATGTGCAAAAGATTGTTACATAACGCACAACACACACACACACACACACACACACACACAAAACCAAACAGGCAGTTTTTACACAGCACAGTCAAACATGTATGTGTGTGTATCCCTCATATACGTATGTATGGATTTAGTAGTGTGTGTGTGTGTGTGTCTGTGTGCTTTTAATGGCATGTTTAATTAGTCTCATTAGGCAGTGAGTGAAGCAGTGTGGTTGCGATTATTGACCAGCCTGTCAGCCATGCCGGCCTTTGCTGTGAAGACCTCTGAAGCACTGCTCTTCCTCTCGTGCCAGAAACGCTGACTGAATCCTTTATCTCTGCCACTTCTCCCGCTCCTCCGGCTGCCAGCTCGGTCCTACACCCCTGCTATCTTAAATCACACTGGGTTATGGCTGGTTTCTCTTTGATGCGGCACATCCAAAACATCTGCGAAAATCAACCGGCGAATGAAGTTTCCATCAGTAAATCATGAATTCTGTTTTCCAGCTGAAGTGAAAAGTTGAGAGTAGCCACAACTATGAGAAAACATGGCAATGCTTTACCTGAAGTGATGCTCATAATGTCATGCTGTGATTATAGCATCTTTGATCTTTGGTAATGCTGAATAATTTAACTAATAATGTCACAGGAAGTTTGTAATTTCCCATTAATCGTACGGGAAAAATAGGAATTTCCTTGAAGGAAAAGGAGTCTGTTTATTATTGGAAACTTTATTCTCCATATGTATGTTTACTTAGCGACACATCTTTGTGTGTTTTAGCTGCTTTGCACCGAGCGTTTAGGCTAAAGGTCTATAAGTTAGACTAGCAAATAACTGGAGTTGTGTCACTGAACGTGTAGTAACTCTGTCTGTACTTGATAAAGTTAATTCTAGGAAATTGTTCGTAAATTATGGACCCACAAAATGAGGCAGAATTTTTATGTGATTATTCAAATTGATATAATTCTGAAAGCCTCAGCTTTTGTTTGTAGAGAAATGAGGCAGTTTATGTAAAAGTTAAGTCCAATCTGTGTGTAGCGTTCAGCCCCATTACTCTGCGCTCACAACAAGTACCAGCGTGCGTTCCTGACTGTCACACTACATCTATTTGATACAATACCAGAAAGTTTCAAACCCTACACGAGGGGGCTTTGGTGTGACGCTTTATTTTTACAGATGCCTAATTTCTGAATAATTTCCAAGGAAGTGTCCTGGAAAGAACTTTGTACTAATTATAGATAAAACTGGAATTTCCCTGAAAGAAAAGCAACATTAAAACCCAAGTAAAATATTAATTCTTTATTCGTTTATCATTGGAAACATCATTCTTCATATACAGTATGTTGTTGCCAGTACAACACTGTTGCATGCACAGATGACTAAAACACTCAACAGTAAATTTGGCCTGAGATGAATTAGAATTAATGAATTAGAAGTGAATCAACACTGTCTGTGTTTTGGTGCCAAATTACATCATTATTTCCAGGAAACTTCTTGGAAATGATCATTATGATGGATACTTTATAGTTGACGGCAAAATGTTAATCTTTGTATTTGACAATTTTGTAATAAGCTTATCTAATGGTTTTAATGAACTTATTAATAATGCATGAATGCACTTCAAGTAAAGAAGATCTTTTTGTGTTGTGTATGTTCTAATTTTATCAGCTTTTTTTTTTTGTGTGTGTGTGTGTAAGAGCAGTTGTGGAACATATTTCAGAATACGAATGTCTCATTTTGACATGAAGCTGCTAAACTGTGCCGTCATTATGTTGTACAGTAACATTTTGTTGTGCCGCAGGCTCAGCCGAGCATTTGCATTCTCTCCCTGCTGCGGAGTCTTTGGTTTACCTTGCTTTGGCCTGGGGCAATGTCAAGCAAACACATCTCAAGAATAAATTGCTCCTGTTCTCAACATGCAGTGGGCTGCCTTCCATGACAAAAGTAATTTGTTTGGAAATGTGAGCGCGGGAAACCAGACGAGGTTTACATTTAGATCACTTTCTGAGCAACAGCGAATCTAATGATCTATAACCCACCACTGGTTACAGTGTAGACTGATGCAGCCACCCCTGATTATATTAAGTGTTCGAGTCGAGTCAAGCTTGTTGTAGGTATTAAGTCATTCAGTCTGACTGCAGCTCATTCCTCACTTCCCTTTAGCTTTATGTCTGCCTCCGTTTCTGCTTAGTCATACCTTCCTTCCTTCTCCTTGAGTCTGTGTATCATGCATCCACATTAGGTGATTTTTTTTTTTCCTGCCTAAACTCCAGTCTGTGTGTACTGTGTATATGCAGGAGGAGGCTGCCCCCCCCCCCCCCCCCCCCCCCCCCCCCCCCCCCCCCCCCCCGGGTTGCACGACACTAAATTACCTTTAGGAAAGAAATGCATCTCCCAGCAGGTGGGATCAAGTCAGTTTAAAGTCATTAGATTTAAAGCTGCACTACGCAGGTTTTTCCTTGGGTAGACCCAGGTATTAGTTGAAAAGAGAGGGATTTTAGAAAGTTTGAATTAGTCAACAGAGTTGGGAAGTGGAAGGATTTATATCGGTGTCCAGTGTCCATTTTCTGCAGATGATATTTAGTGACACAACAGTTGGTACTTCCATTTCCACAGCCTCCCAGTTTAATCATCAATACAAATGAGGATCTACTATGTTATAAAATATCTGGTTATTTCATTAAAAAGTCAAGGATACAAACCTGCCAACAGGAAAACTGTAGTAGCAAAAAATTAACTACAATTCCCAGGGTGCATCTCTGTAAATAATATGCAATCAACAGAGCTTAAAATTTAAAACAAATATTTGAAATAGTGGGGGAAACGATAGCTCCCAATCTATCATTTCCCCACCATGACTGTGCAAATCAATGTCGGTAAATACCGTTTCCCACCAGTGAGCGTGACATCACCATTTAACGGCACAATCTGCCACACAGTTAACTAATCTCTCCCCAGCTATCACATCATGATAGTCATTCTAATTAAAGCTCATGAGTGCTGATCATGTGGACTAATGTGGAAAATGTTCTATGCTATAAATCGGTGTTTTTAAGTATCTGCTGCAGCTTTAGAATGTTTTTTTTTTAAATTTGTTTTATTGCTTTATGATAAATCAAATGTTTCCCATGTGCAGCACTGAAGAAAACCCACCTCATGATCTGAAACTGAAGGTACCCTGTGGAGGTTTCTTGTAAACAAACAGTTACACAAACGCATCGTGTGTATATCTGGAGGCCTAATAAAAATGTCAAATGCATTTCCTGCCTTATAAAACATTTAAAGCCCATGTTGTTTACATCCATGTTTGCTAGCTAGCAATCCTCTTCTGCCATATTTGTATGTTTCTATGGACGTTACTGCCACCAAATGTTGATCGATTAAATGGCATGAATGTGTATTGCATCGCCTGCATGCTCGTTTATATGTGACACAAACAAAACGGGGGCCTGCTCATCAAAACATTGCTCCATAGCGCTCCTAGTGGTCAAAAACTTCACAGAGTACCTTTAACCTCAACCCCGGTTGGTATGAATGAGCTACAGTTCCTGTTTTGTCATTCTGTTTGTCTGTTGCTGTGTTGATGAGTCATAGTGCGAGCCCGTCATGTCCGTGTGTCTGTCTGTCTGATGGTTTGGTTCACTGGTTATGGTCCCTTGTGTAGGAGGGTCCCTATGTGATGCTTAAGAAGAACTGGGAGATGTACGAGGGCAACGACCAGTACGAGGGATACTGCGTGGACCTGGCCTCGGAGATCGCCAAACACATCGGGATCAAGTACAAGATCTCCATCGTTCCCGACGGAAAGTACGGCGCCAGGGACCCAGAGACGAAGATCTGGAACGGCATGGTCGGGGAGCTGGTGTACGGGGTAAGAACCTTTTTGTTTTCCCTCTTTGGTTGACAGGAAGAAGTTCTTTTCTCTCCCTGAAGCGCTATTCTGGACTGAAATTAGCTTTTCATCTACGCTGACTCATCACATTCAAACTTTAATTTTATGCTGTCAGTAAGATTCACGATGGTATTTAAAGACAATACCGTGTCTTCTTCTAATCTGTTAATACTAACAATACATTTATACAGCAGCTTGGCCTATGGCAGGGAAAAAAAAAACTGCTTTTAAGATCTTACAGCTGAAAATCACTGAAATTAGTCATCATGGTCAAATTCATTCACACTGTGTAAGAGAGTCTGAGAAAGCCAGATATATTCAGTAGGAGAATTTGTTCTTCATTTGTTCTCCTCACGACCATATGATAAGCAAAGTCATAAATACAGACTTTGTGCTTGTTAAAATGAAATTATGTCTGACACTCGAATAATAGCGGCGGCCAGCACAAACACATAAACACACGGTTTAAAACATTGAGGGATGGAAACTTTGTACTCTAGTAGCTCACAGGACAATTAAAACATAATGACTCTTCTTTTTTATTAGCCAATGCTAGCAGCATGGCTGTAGAGATGGCAGCCTGACATTTATTCCTTATGCATTTATGATTTTGAATCTGCAGCTCAGGGAGTGGAAAGCTGCAAAGCCAGGTCCCATTCACAATGAGCTGCAGCCCATCGGTCTTACAGCATTTGAGTCTTTATGTTTGAACGGCCCATTAGTGTTGTTTAATTGCCGTTAAACCGACCATCAGTGAAACTCCAGACTTCCTGCAGATGTTTCAAATTAAAAGCACAGGTAGGAACTGGCACTCTGAGCCACTCTAAGGCTTTTAATGTGAAAAATCTGTGCAGTAAGTGTTGAGTTTAGAAGAAAAACTCAATTGGGGATAGAAGGTGAATAAAAATGGTGTTGTATACTGAAAACAGAATGATACACATTATTATTTACATTATTTATAATTTATCAAACCAACAGGTAAACATGGAGGAAGTGTTGCTTTTGCATGAACTGAAAATGAAAACTGAAAAAGATTGACAAGAAGGTTTCTTATTGTTTTCTGTGCAGTTAAGATAAATAACTGTCCACGGCCGCTGTCTGATCAATAATACTAAGTTAAAAAGATCACATTATATATAAAATACTTTATGTCTTTTAATGTGCAGAATAATGCTTTTACACAAGGTTTTGCTCGAGGTCTCTGGACAAACAGTTTTTCTTGATCTGCAGAGTTCGACTTAATCTCTGTCTGAAGCACTTCTGCGTTGTTTGTTGTGTAGATAATTAAACCCACCTGAAAAAGAAATTGTAAAAAGCCCAGCAGTCTCTGGTGGTATTAATACAGGCAGGAAGAGGGGGAATTAGTGTAGCATTAGAGCAGAGGTTTTGGAGGGGGTTAAAGTGGAGGAGCGAGGGTTGTGGAGCTTGTTATAGAATCTCTGAGGTGCTGGTCTGATTTCTGGTGAGGTGTCTCTCTGACGCTGACCGTGCTGCGGGATGTGGCGTAGGATGATGTTGGTGTCGATAAAGGCATCGAAGTGAAGAAAGAGCAACATATTTGTGAATAGAAAGATGAAGAAAACGATGAGAAGAAGAAGATTTTTGTCACTTATTGTGAATTAAAATTGGATTTTAGGTTCAGTTGAGAATCAATCATTAAATGTCTGATATTCTACTCTGTATTTTTGACAGCGATCATTGCACAATAATAGTGTTTACACAAGCAGCAATTAGTAGAAAACGTACAGTATTTCTGCCTCAAAAAAATGTTTTCCTGGTCCTTTTTTTTTTTTTTTTTTGTGATGAGCTAAGTGGCATTTTTCTCCCCTGAACTTCTGCTGCTGCAGTGACTCACTGTGAGGTCGACTGCAGCGAGGAGAGCCACAGTTCGGGATGTGTCAGGACTGATCAAGCAGCACAGTGCACCTTTGGTGTAAAGACCGACCAGGTTGGTCAAACACACAGGAACAAAAAAAAAAAAAAGAGAAAGTGTAGCTGTTCTCTCTGCTATTTTCGTCTCTTTAACAAGCACTGTGAGCAGGAGTGCTTCCTGTCCAAGAGCTTTTCTCTGAATGGGAGACATGCCCGGCAAAATTACTTTAACATAAATACCCTAACTGGAAAAAAACATAAGTGCTTTGACCTAGTACAGCTGTCATCACAATTTTGGACTTTAACCCTTTCAGTCCCAGAGCACAAACGCTGTTTTTGTGCCTCTTCAGTTTATCAGCCTCTCAAAGTCTCTCGTTAGCTTTAAATGTGGAAGTGTTGCACATTTTCTTTTTTTCTAGATAACCAGGGCTCTTTGAAAAAGAGTAGAAACAAAAAAGTAGAGGTTCCTGGCGCTACCGAGGTGCACGGAGAGAGGAAAAACATCTGCAGTAAACACAAGAACTTTATTATTTATTATTCAGCTTGTGGCCCCCGATGCCCCTAATTATAACGCTCTTCTGTCTACTGCAAGTTGCTGGAGTTTTGACCTCTGCTTGAAAATGAGGAAATGTGACTAGCTGAAGATTTATGGTTGGCTCAATAGATAAATACTGAATCTTCCACATTATTGCTTGAGGTTTAGTTGAAGGGTAAAAGGGTGAAGGATTGAGAATGAAAAGAAGAACTTGCGGTAAAGATCCGTGGTGGGAGCAGAGGAGAGAGGACGAACAATGGCGGATTCAGGGGGAAGGTCGTCACAAGTATAGTAATACCAAAATGTGTGTTAGAAGAATATACGCTGTGCACTAGTGTGTATAGCCAGAAGTGCACGATAGAGTGTGTGATTGGGGGCATAGGGGAAGCTGGTAGGTTTTTCTACAGTGTTCATGGGAACGTCTGAGGACATGGAAGCTGTCAGCACTTTCCCGACTAAGACTTTGCTCAGAGACCATTCATTTCTTTCCTGGCTCTCCCTGAAAAGCTCCACACTACCACAAAAGCCCTGCCTCCATTTAACCTGCCATGTATTTTAGCACACACTAAATGCCCCAAGGCTGTCATCTTAGTGCATTTTGCTGAGGATGAAAGAACTTAAATCTCTTTCATTTTATTTCCGTCGTCCCTGTTTTCTCCTTTTCCCACCTCCTTAAGTGTCAGATGGTCGTAATGAAACTTTAAATTCTTGCTGATATTAAGCCCTTTGCTCCCAAGCCAGGCAGACAAGGTCACACAAGTGTTGCTAAGTCACTAACTTTAATCTGGTTTGTGGATTTTCAGCAAGCCAGTGTGCATTTTTCCACAGCTGCAGACCTCAGAGGTGGCTGTATCCCATTTTTGCCTTCCTGTGCTGTAAGCATATTTCTGTGACACATTATTTTATCCTCCCTGCTGATTCCCCCAGAGTTTCAGCTAAGCCTCTCAGCATTAGAGAGGGTTTGAGAATTTCTTTTTCAATTTCTTTTCTTTCTCCCTCTGTCTTAACTTGATCACTCTGAGATGTATTCAGCCGCCGTCGAAACTTGATCGCTCAGAGATTTGTTCAGTCAAGGGAGAAATTCAGATAAAACGACACGAGCTGCTGAAGAAGAAGAAGAAGAACAAGAACAAGAAGAAGAAACAGGAGTAATTGTTGTTGTTTTGTTTTCTGACGGCCGGCTAGCTGTTGGCCTTCTGGATGTCATATCTGTGACTAAGTGATGTTTGCGTGGCACGGCTCAGAGAGATGATCCATCATTTGCATTTGTTTATCTGTCATCATTAGGGATTTAGAGTCGCTCTCAGAGAGGCTCGTTCAGGTGGCTAATCAAATCCCTCTTCATCCAAATCCCCACAGAAAGCGGAAATCGCTGTGGCCCCTTTGACAATCACGTTGGTCCGGGAGGAGGTGATCGATTTCTCCAAGCCCTTCATGTCGCTGGGCATTTCCATCATGATCAAGAAGCCCCAGAAATCCAAACCAGGGGTGTTCTCCTTCCTGGACCCGTTGGCCTACGAGATCTGGATGTGCATCGTGTTTGCCTATATCGGCGTGAGCGTGGTGCTCTTCCTGGTCAGCCGCTTCAGCCCGTACGAATGGCACACCGAGGAGCCCGAGGAGGGCACCGACGGTCCGCCAAGTGACCAGCCCCCCAATGAGTTTGGTATCTTCAACTCCCTCTGGTTCTCCCTGGGCGCTTTCATGCAGCAGGGCTGTGACATCTCCCCCAGGTAAGCCTGACTTTCATTCAACTGTCACAGAAGTTGCTCTGTGTTTGTCTCACTGCTACTTCTTTAGCTTCTTTCTCCTCAGGCTGGGGACACACTACACGACCTGTAGGCCAGTTATAATCACAATGTGCCTTCACGTCCGACTGGATTGTGTCTGTGTTAGTCTCCAGACTCCCTCGCCTGCCAATCCAGTTTCATCATTATTTCAGATGTGTTTGATTGACAAAACAAAATTAGCCTGTGACAGTGAATGGGAAGAAAAACACATTAGTTTGTTTTGATTTTTTTTAATCATGTCAAAGTGTCACTGGCACCAAAAACCTGTGGTCTGTAATTTTCAAAATCAGCTCATCGTAAAGTGAGTGAAGTCTGTACAACACGAGTTGGAACATAATCCTGAACTGAACGCTATTATCAGTGTGATTTTTGATATTTTTCCCAGTCCCAACAGTTGTGTAGTGTGTGCCCTTAGCTCGAATCATAGCTGACATTCACATTAAAGCCAGAGCTTCAGTTATAAACCATGGAGATACTTGAAAAATCCTCCAGTTCTTGTCCGTTGTGACTTTTATTATTGGCTCTAATAGGGAGTGTTGTTGTTGCTCAGCATCTGAACCTTGATTATGGTCTATGATACATTTCCACTATCACCACCTAACAGTCTAATATCTGGAATAACTGTATTACTTTATTGAATTTATATAGTTTATTAAGTGTATAAAGTAGTGACATGACTTAAGGTTTTAAATTATGTAGTTTTATATTGGTTATATGTGACCCTAAAGATTATATTAAAAATGCTCTGTGTTTAAAGCAGTAGTTAAATAGTCAAGTAAAGTAAATAGTAAAGCAACCTTTTAGGAAATATGCTTATTTGTGTTCTTGCATGAGATGAGAAGATCAATGTAAATCTCATGTCTGTGCTTTAAATATGGAGCTAGCTACAATCAGATACTGTTAGCAAAGCTTAGCAAAGATTGAAAGTGGTGTGAAACAGTTCGCCTGGCTCTGTCCAAAGTTCAAAAAAATGTCTACCAACACCTTTAAAAATTAAAATTACCACAGTGCATCTCGTGTCTGTAACTAGGTCTTATTGAACAACAGTCTGTTTGTGGATGGATTAAATATGAGTCTGCAGCCATGACTGGAGCCAGTACAGTGGTGCATTGAGCTAAATGCTAATGTCATCATGCTAACATGCTCACTATGACAATGCAAAAATGCTGATGTTAAGCTGGCATACAGTTTACCATGTTCAATGTTTTGCAAGTTAGCATGCTAACATTTAGCATTAGCAGTAAACACAAAGTACAGCACAGGCTGATGGGAATGTCATTAGCTTTGCAAAAGGGGTGGACAACAGTAGTTCACTGAACTTACTACAGTTCATCCTGAGGGAGAGTCAGGTGATCACCAAAGTCATTAGGAGTCAATCCATAAGAAATTTCACGTCAGTCCGTCCAATAGTTGTTGAGATATTTCCAGTGTTGGTTGGTGTTTATTTTGAACTTTGGCCAGTCTGTTTCCCTTTGTTTCCAGTCTTTATGCTAAGCTAAGCTAAACATCCCAGCTCCAGCTCGTTACTTAGCTCACAGACATTAGATCAGTATCAGTCCTTTCATCTCTGAAAGCTGAACTGTTCCTTTAAACTACAACTAAACTAACTAAAACTAGAAATTATGTATTTAGTTTCTGTCATCTGCTACTGATGATACAATGAACTTCATCTGACTGATTATGTATTATTTAAGTTAAAGTTACTGCATAGTGTTTTGTATAGTTGCATGTGGTTCAGAAGCATAATATAAAGGCCTTAACTATCAGGTACCATGTTCTGTGTTGTTAGTGACTGTCTCATGTGTTGCACCACAGTGTCTGATGCTGTGTATACCTGTACGTGCACAGTGGCATCACACTCGTTATGTGTTATGTTGTGCGTTTGTTAGAGAGAGAGAGAGAGAGAGAGAGAGACTGTCTCTGCTAGTATTGATTTTTTTGTCTCTCTCTCTCTCTCTCTCTTCTCCAGCCATATTGTTATTCACTGTCTGACTTGCATACACTGTGTTGTCTGCTTGTAAGGGAATTAGGGTTGTCTCGGTGTCCGTCAGCTTCGGCAGTTGTGTCCTCGCACTTGTACGTCTGTGTGTTTGAGCTCCAGTTACATGACTGGCGACCGTGGTTCCGTGAACCCGCTGTCTGCTCCATAGTACGAAAACCTGTGAGATTCATTAAGAACACAGTGTCAAGGTGTTGTCTTTCACCGTCTCTCTGTGACTTCTCTTCCCTTTTGTCCAAATTACGAGACCCAAACCAAGCGTCCCCTTTTGGGCTTCGCACCAGCGGACTCATGTCCACTAAAGCGTCGCGTACTTTGGTATAAGGGAGGAGAATTGGGGCTTGTACAGTTTATTGTGCGGCTATGTTTCTCTCCAGTCTTTTGTTTTTGCAATCATAGATCAGGCTTCGTGTCCATCATCACACAGTGACTTTCTCTGAACCTATGGACTGATAAAGCCTGTTATTCTTAATGGCTTCTCATTGTCTTCAAAGCCTCTCTGCGCTGTTTGAATGGCTTTGTCAAGCTTAAAGTTCCAGCACATGGATTGTTTGGGTTATTTTGAGCTACTGGCTCCTATAGTTATTTTAAGTCTTTGATATAATACTTACTTTTATCTGCTTTAAGCCCTTATGGATCTTATAATGTAATAGAGTTGGTAAGATTTTAGAAGATGAAAGGAGGACCAAACCAGCCTGTATCTTTCAGCCTCCCCCACACCAGAGGAGAACAGAGAAACACACAAGATGGAGGATCCTGAGGTACATTCGAAATTATAGCCCGGCCTCACGTAAGCAACCTATAGAGGAGACTGTAGTGGCCCTGTGACTGTAATTAAGCGCACTCATTTAAGGAGTACACTCGCTTTGTTCACATGTGTGCAGACCACCCCACCCCCACCCAGCACCCACCACCCACCACCCACCACCATAACCATCTCCGCCTGTGCACCGCAGATAAGGACTTGAGAGCCGCACAACAATGTGTCGGCATCAGAATGAAAAGTCTACATTTCAACCCTCTCTGTCTCTGGCTGTGGTCCCCGCTGCATTCCACCTGTCACCGCTAATCCCATGGGCCTCTCCCAGTCCATCAGCGCGGAGCCCCGGAGCTCAGGAGCGCTTCCACTCCAGTTTAGCCTGACAGGGCAACATGCAAATCCCTTCACACAGGGGAGATTAGATGGCACGGAGGGAGTGACAAGGGCAGAGGTGAATGGGACGAATTTGGCGCGAGAGAGCCGCGGTGCTCGCTCGTGGGTTACAGTCGGGAGGTGGCCGGACGCTGGAAGCTCAGTTTGCCTGCGGCACAGTCTCTGAAACCTCTGATGTTCTACATGTTCGTCCACCACAAAACAGTTACATAAGAATACAACTACAAATGAATTCAGGTGTTTGTCGTTTGTAAGAGTTTAGGAGAAGTTTAGGTTGACTGATGGTCACATCATTTAAGTTTTCATCTTGGATATCCCTGACCTCCACTCAAAACAACATAAGCATTATATCATCCCCCTCTTAACCATCTTAACTGCACGACTTGTTGTAAATTGCTTATTTGAACCCGATAAATGCCACATATTCACAAGGAGGTTAATGTTCATACAGTTTCATCATTAGCATGATCAGCGCCTCAAATTGCTATATAAGGCTGCCTGTTAAGATCCTTTTGTGGGCAAAATGATCAGCCAAGAGTAGAGAGAAGATTTTAACGAATTCTCCTTAGAGAGGCCCGTTGTCCCGGCGCCCCGGTGACTCACCTCCAACTTTCCTGTCACTCTCTCACTGCAGCTATAATAAAGGCTAATAATTTCCCCAAAAAACAGGCACATGTGCACAGCTACAACAAGCTAGCAAGGTTAAACCATAAACAGGACGGCCTCCAGCATTTTATTGAAACACAATCCGGTTGTAGAACAAGATTATCCAGTGCATTTTATTTTTCAAAATAAATAAATGAATAAATAAGATGAACCAGCTGAAGTCACAGTGGTAGAAAAAGGCCGACCACTGGGTAAATCAAGCATCAGCAAAGACAGATGGATTCCTTACTAACTAAAGTTGTCAGTAACTCAGTTGTCTGTAGGTTCATCACAAGCGGCCTCCTTCATGTCGTCGTCATCTGACACATTTTTCACTGTAAAAATATTGATTATAGCCTCTTTAATACTATGTGAGAACAAGCCAACACTCGTGGGTCCAAGTCAAAGACAATTATGTCCATCCAGCTTCCTGACCTGCTCCGTGTGATCCTGTCCTCTTGGAGAAATGTGATTCTCCCACGTTTTAATCATGTGGAACTCTTTTCTTTTTTTTTATTTTTGACTCATTTCACGACACAGCTCCAACAGGAAAGGCAGAGGTTGAAACAGCACAGAACGTCTTCCCCTCTCTCTCTCTCTCTCTCTCTCTCTCTTAATAAGGGTTAATACCCCCTTCTGCTCCCTCAAGGCAACCCATAATAATTAATTCAGTGATTAATATCCCGGTCTCCGATGGTAATGTCTCCGTGGAAACAGGAGAAGAGGGGAGCTTAAATGAAATGGTGACATGATAGTCTTTTTAATTGACTACAAATCCCAGACGAACAGAACTTAAGTTATTCTGGTGTTTTCTCCAGAGACTGCAGGACGTCGCATCACAAGTCAGAAAACATCAACAGAAATGTGCAGACAGCCGCCTGACGCTCACGCAGGTGTAATCGGTCATGGCTGTACCAGGTGTCCTCAGTCACTTCCGTCTCATTGCCTCAGATGGATTATCTTTGTCTCTTCCGCTGAGTCATAGATGCCACATCTCTGGCGAGCTAATGAGAATGCTGTGATTGGCTTGATTAGTCCTGATTAGCTCAGAGTGCGCGCATACTGATGGCAAATTTCCTGATGGCTGCAGATGAAGCGTAACTTTTAATTTCGGCGGTGAATTTAGGCCAACAAAAGCTGCGTTTG